AAATACATACGAAAAACGGCGCATTGAAAATTGCTCTAATTCGCCAAAAACAGCTGATTTTCGTCGTCGTCGTCGTTGCTTCCTGTACCTCCTCTCAGTCGCGGCCTCCACTGCCTCTCGGGGCAATCGACGGCTGGCTGGCTGACTGGCTGGCTCCAAACATCGACATGGACTCGGCGGGGTTTTTTTTTTGCGGTGTCTGTCAGTCGTGTGGCGGTCGTCGTCGTGCGGCAACATGAAATGGCCGACGCAAAATATGCGCATATAAAAGCTCCTCCTCCCCCTGCCACCCAATCGAAACGCCAACCCCAACCCCATCCCCATGCCCATCATCCTTGCCTTATAACCTTGCATCATAACAAGAGTGTTTCGTATTTAGGCTAGTTACAGGTCGAAAATCTTTTTCCTTTCCCACAAAACATCATGTGCCGCTACGGCACTCACTCCCCCTCCCCCCACCTCCCACTCGGCCATTGTAGTGGGTGTGGGAGAGCAGGCAGGCAGCCACCAGCATGGGAAACACCAAGAGACGACAACATATCTAGCGTCGTCATCTCCAACTCAAACTCAAACGTTTCAGAGAGCAAGCTGGCTAGTGCTGGTGCTCGTCTTCCATTCAATTCCGTCCGTTTTATTATGATGAGCAGCAGTCGCTGTCTTCCAGCTCTCCCCCAACCCCCCTCACTCTTTCTTATTCGAAAACTTAAAGCCCCGCTTCTTTTTTATTATGCCTCTTCCTATTCGTTTTCTTCTTCTGGGCCACCGCCACCACCGCCGCGCGCTCTTTTTCATGTTGTTTCGTCTTCCTCTTTGGCTTGGCGCGGGGTAGGGGGGGTTGGATCGTACATTTAAATTGCTTTTGTGCGGAGCTCGGTCCGTCGTCGTTTCGTCGGAGCCAAGCCAAAGTCGCGGATCAGCTCGGGTTCGGTCTCGAAGCCGCCGCTGTGCTTGCTGTCGTCTCTGGTTCGTTCGAGCTCTACCTCCGGCTTTTGTCGAAAACTGAAACTTGGGTTTTTTTTTTCTCCGTCAATCTTGTTGCTTTTTTTGTTGTTGCTATCGCACGTTGTTGAAGAATTCAAAGTGGGGGCCCACAGTCAGCGGTAGAGCCAGACCGGGCCCCAGACCCGACCCAACGACTCTCGACCAGGCCAGGCCAGGCCGGCGAGGCACAGAGGTAGCGACCGACTTTAATGCTAGCAAGTCGACTTTTGAGCGGCGTTGCTGTGTGGCCAAGCTGCGTACAGTGGAATGCATTTGGCTGTTAGTTGAGGGGTATCATACGTTAAGCCATATTATTTATGATCTACAGAGATCTATGAAGAGTATATTTGGGCAGAGAATTACTCTTAAGTCAACTTCGGATATTGTTTCTTCTCTTTTCTGAATAATTGTAAGTACTTTCATTCAGTTTCTTCCAGTTGTGTTCAGTTTTAGCCTATTCCTCCTGTACCCAACACCCAATTCGAGTAATTCCATTTTTGCGCCATAGTACCAGGCCCCAAGCGGACGACGATGTTTCGTTGTCTCTGGCTTTCGGGCAAACATTTCGAGTTGTTGTTGTTGCTGTTGCCTTTGCCTCCGACGACGATGACTGGGCTCTGACTCTGTCTCTAGCTGGTGTGGTGGGGCTCTGTGGCTCTCAGGTTTTCTGTTCGTTCGCTCGTTCGTTTCATACTGTCGGTCGGTCGCTCGTTCGGGCCTGACTGGCTGGCTGGCTGGCTGGCTGGCTGGCTGGCTGGTCGTTTGGTTGGCTCATAACCTGAAACTTGAATATTGTGGAATTTGAAGGTAGCATGGATGTTGTTGTAGTTGTTGTAGTTGCTGCTGCAGCAGCAACAACTGCAGCAACAGCAACATCAACGCTGCGTGCGAGCTTTAGACTCGAGAGCTCGAGAGTCGAGACACACACAGGCCGCCGTCAATTTGGAGCCAGTCGGAGACGGAGACCGTTGCCGCCGTCTCCGTCTTTACAGCAGTCGCAAATGTATCTGTGTATCTGTATCTCTCTCCTTCGTAGCCAGCAGTGCCAGCAGTGCCAGTGCCAGCAGCTGAAACGAGTTGCTGGCGAAGCGTAAAATGCTGCTGCTGTTTTGATGGTAAAAAGCAAACGAACCTACGAACGAACGAACGAACGTTGGCTCTGGGTCTGGCTGGTGGCCCCGAGAGTGGGGACTGGGATTGGATTGGATTGGGGACTGGCTGGCTTTTGTGCTGCTCGAACTGTTTGGAACTGGCTGTGGCTGTGGCTGAGGCTGCTGCTGCGGCTGTAGCTGGGAGTGATGTTGGTGTGGCAATAAAAATTCAACTTCTCAGCGAACGAACGCAATGCAGCTCAAAATCATCATCATCATCAACAACAGAGGCTCAGGCTTGAGCTGTTGCTTGAGCTCCTCTGGAGATGATGATTGTTGGCCGCTTATAATGATGGCAGCACTCGCAACAGCAACAGCAGCAGCAGCAACAACAATCAACAAATGCAACAACCATTTCTCCATCTCTACACAAAATCCGAAAGAAAACTGAAACATTAGCGTAGAAAGTTTTTCTTTTTGTTGAATTTCGATTCGTTGATTGTTTTTCCGTTTCAAAAGCTTTGGGCTGTGAACGGTGGAGCTTTGCAGCTTTTTTGCAAAAAATTCAAACACCGATCCGCTTCGATCCGATCGGATACACACGGCGTATGCGCAATGCGCTTCGGCTCTTAGCATCGGTGGGCCATTACACATACGACCAGTTGTCGCCAGAACAATGAGGCATGCACACACAGTATGTCGCACGATGATGACGATGACGCCGACGCCGACGACGAGCGAGACTCGCCTTTGATGATGATAAGCCCCACAGAACAGAACATGACTCAGAGCTGAGAGCTAAGCAGAGGGAACAATACAATGGGAATGGCAATCGTATTGGGAATGGGAACGGAGCAGAGCAGAGCTGAGCTGAGCAAAGAATCATCAAAGAAGACGCTGTTCTGTTTGGTTCTGTTCCGTTCCCAAAAGGGAGTCCATGGCCCGGGCGGTCATGGAGCGTGTGTGTCTAGACTCTAGACGAGAGACGCGACTCGACACTCGAGAATCTCGCTCCAGCCCCTATACCAAAAATAACCAAAAATACAGCTGCAGACACGAACGAAAGGAACGAGGGATGAAATGCGATGATGATGCGGACAGGGAACGGGAACGGGAACAGAGGCAGGCGGCGGCAGTGGCAGTGGCAGACAGCAGGCAAAGGCAAACAAGAAAGCAAGGGGCACGGACTGGGACAGGACCAGGGACCAGGGACTGTGTGAGAGGGAAGGAAAAATGCGAAACACATGCGACTCAGCCACGACGACGACAACCTCGATGACGATATCTGAAAAAGTGAACTGAAAACGAAACGAAAACTCACCCCAAAGCCAGCCGTGGCGACGATGCGCTCGGTTCGTCCTCATATTATTTTCCCCCTCAATGCTAATGGTAACTGCAACAGCAGCAGAGGCAGCAGCAGCAGTATGTGGCAGCAACAGCAGAGGCAACGGCTAAATATGCGAGCATATGGCAACCCTTATGAATATGACGCCGCCGCTCCGCTCCACACAAAGGCCCGTCCCGTCGTTTGCTGCACAGATGTTCGAAAACTGAAAGGGAGACGAGTCGAGACCAGACCGAGGCCGCAGCGATGGTTCTTCTAGCCGTAGAATAGAGTTGCCTGAAGGGTGGCAACACTGAAAAAGGGGGAAAGATGAGCGGCAGTTTCGAAATTGGTGGAGTGTGCAGCAATGACAGAGAGATCAGATCGATGGAGATTAACGAAGGAAAAGTAAGCAGCGAGAAGCAGACCTAGAGGTAGAAATAGATAGAGGTATTACGGGAAGATAAGGGAATGTTTTTAGATTGTGAGAAGAACTAATGCAGGCGATACCGATGTGTATTGCTTTGGTAGATCGTAAATGCCATAGAGGGGAGGCTTACACTCAATTTAGAATATTTAACGATCGTTTAGAGAAGATCTTACCATCTTACCATAGTGGATATATTAACATTTCCTGGTGATTTAGGATCACTTACAGTAGACAATATTATACCTATATACCAAGGGAAAGCCCTATGGATTTTCCATACAGAATTTACGAGTATCCGTGGGAAAACTCTTCGATGCAAAAATTCCAAAAAATGTTGCTCCAAAAATCAGAGGGGGAATTCAAGAAAGAAACCCAAAAATAGTTTCGAAAAGAACGAAACGCGTACATCAGAAAACAGAAAACAGAAAAATGCTCTCGCGCAGTAAATGTACGGAAGTTGAGAGAGAGAGAGAGAGCAGAGAGATGAACAGAAAGAAACAGCAACAGAATGAAGAAGCAGCAGTCGAAGGCAATCATCCCACACTGCTTTCTCCCCCTTCTGCCCACTGCCCACCCCTCTCTCTATCTTTCTTTCTTTCTTGGGCGCTCTTGGGTTTTATTTTAAGAAGATTTCACGAGTCGAGCAGGCAGTGAAACGCCGATGAGCAATGCCACACAACCACACAGCGCGGCATACAAGGGGAGGGAAGAGAGTGGGAGTGGGAGTGGGTGGGTGGAAGGGCATGGCAAGAGGGCGAAGGGTGGCATCCTGACTGACAGACAGACAGACAGGCAGACAGGCAGACGGGCGAACGGACGGACTACTCCTCGACTTTGCCGCTTGACTGTTTGTTGCCTGGCATTTTCCATTTCATTTTCATGCGGCTCTTGGTCTCTGCGCCTTTGAGTGGGTGGAAAAACAGAAGCTAGGCGGTGGGAAGGGCGATGGCGAGGGGGAGTGGTGCTTTTCCATTTTCTTGATAAGTTTTTGTTGTTGTTGTTGATTTTGCTTTTGCTGTTGTGTGTCCTTTGTGCGGGTTCTGGCTGCTGTCTTTTGCGTGGAAATTTATGATACAAAGTCGAGTTTTCCTTTTCCTTACTCCTTGCTGATTTTCCTTTCCGTGCTTTTTTGGCGGCAATTCTCTAAACAGAAATCTCTCTCTGCATCTTCCAGGTAAATTCAGCGATGGGTCTTCAAGCAACAGCCGCCACAAAGCGGAAGCATGAGCTGACCTTTGACGGCAAGGATGCCAATACCACCTACACGGGCAACTGTGCCCCGCCCCCCCACAAGGCCAACAAATGGGCCATCAGCAACAACAACTACCTGGAATCGCTAGAGGAGCAACAGCAGCAGCAGCAACAGCAGCAGTTGCAACAACAGGGAGAGACAACGACGACTGTCGAGTCGAACAACAATCACATCATCATTGTGGATGCAGCAGAGCCCAAGTCGGAGAGCAGCATCATCTCCATCTCCATCTGCAATGGTAGCGAAGTTACTAGCGTGAAGAGCCAGTCGGAGGTGCCACTGCCGCCGACGGCGAGTGCCGCGATCCCAGAGGACAGCATCGCCAAGCTGGAGGTGGTGGCCACCGTGCCCTGTGAGCCCTGGAGCGGTGCCTCGTCGGTCACTGTCACCAGTCCACCCTCTGTGATTGGTGGCGGCGGCGCCGAGGATTGCATTTCCAAGTTGCAGGCTGTGGCCGTGCCGAGCGATCCATGGGGCAGCATTGTCACACGCTCCACCCTGGCCACCACGCTCCTCAGCGCCGATGAGCTGGACGACGACGATGATGACTTTGAGGATGATTACGAGGAGGAGGAGAGCATCATACCCACCTACTGCCCCATGCGGTATCATCCGTTTGTGCCGCTGCCACATCCGCATCCGCACCAGCTGCCAGCGCATCCCCATCCCCTCCAGCATCAGCAGCAGCAGCAGCAGGCGGTGGTGCAGCAGCAGCAGCACCAGCACCAGCAAGCCGTGGTGCAACAGCAACAGCAGCAGCAGCAGCAGAGGAGCAGCTATGCCCCCGGCTATGGCAACCGGCAGCCCAACTACTACTCGGAGCCGTTTCCGCAGCAGAATTGCTCGCGGACCGGCGGCCCCCAGCACATGACGCAGCCAACGCCCCAACAGGCGCAGCAGCAGCAGCCGCGAGGATTCGCCCCACCCCAATGGACCACGGGATCAGCAGCGCCCACCTCGGCGGCGGGACAACAGTTCTACGAGAGCGGGAGTCCCAGTGGAGCGGCGCCCTCCTACCCCCAACAGCAGCCGGCGGCGCCACAACAGACGATCCGCTGTGCGGAGAATGGAAAATCCTACCTGGATCTGGGATGCAGCAGTGCGGCAGCCGGTGCGGCGGCCACCAGTCCGTCGATAGTCGCCTCGCCCATTAGTCCGCCCCCCTCCACGGCGCCTGTGCCACCGTTTGCGGGACTTCCCCTGCATGGCCTGCCCCTCAAGCGGTGCTGCGATGGACGTGCCGGCGGCTGGTGCAGCGCCAACAGGAGCTGCTACAAGGACACGCGCCTGAAGATACGCAATTTGTCGATGTTCAAGCTCTCCCGCTTCCGGCAGGTATCGGAGCAATCGCTCTACCGCTCGGTGCTCATCTGCAACACACTGAAACGCATCGATCGGGAGATTGAAGCGGAGGCCAAGGAGCTGCATCAGGCGGCGCAACAACATCACCAGCAGGCGGCGGCAGCAGCAGCAGCCGCAGCAGCAGCGGCTGCCCAAGCGGCGCAATATCATCCGGCATACCAGCAGCAGCAGCAACAGCAGCAACAACAACAACAGTCCCCGCCAGCGGCACAACTGCATCCGCATCCACATGCCCAACAGCAGCAGCAGCAACAACAACAGTTGGAGTATGCCCCAGTGCTGAATTGTGCCCGTCTGGCCAATATGGATCACTACCAGCAGCTGAATTTCCAGCCGCAACAGCAACAGCAGCAGCAGCAACATGGTGGATACCACGAGAGATTGGAGCCACAGCCAGCGGGGGCCTACAGGGGAGCAGTGGGTGCAGGAGGAGTCGTGGGCCTGGCAGGATTCCAGGGGCAAGCCAACAACTGTGATACGTCAGCGAGCAACAGCCAATCTGCAGCAGCAGCAGCGGCAGCAGCAGCTACAGGAGGTGCAGCAGCAGCAACGAGCGGCAGTAGTCTACATCCCTACGATCATTATCCCTTTCGGGAGTCGCAATCCGGACGTGCCACACCCTTTCCCGCCTGCCCCACAACCTCCTCTGCGGCAGCAGCAGCATCCGCAGGAGCAACAGCCGCGACAGCAGCAGCGCCAACAGCAACAGCAGCCACGAATCCTGTGAACAGCAGTAGCTCCTCCGCCTCCCCTTTGGCCAGCAATGGCTCCAATGCCTCCACCAACAGTTCAAGCCTTACCCTGCCACCAGCGAGCAGTGCCGCCAGCAATGGCAGCACTGCGCCCAGCAGCAGCTCCAGCAACAACAGTGGGACCGCCACCGTGAGTCCTGGCACCAGCGACACCAGCGATTCGGGCTATGCAGATGATGACTCCACGCGATCCATCAACTGGAGTTCGGTGCTCAGCCTGAGCTCCCAGTCCGCGCTGGATCCTTTGAATAACAACGATCTGTTCAACATTCTGCCTGCGGCAGCCACGCCCACAGCTGTGCCTGTTTCTGTGGCAGCAGCAGCCTCCAGCTCCGCCTCCACGCTGGCCTTCAGTGGCAGCTTTACCACCGTGCAGGCAGGATCCAACGGAAGCAGCAGCAGCGGAAGTGGCGCCACCAGCTCTAGCAACAGCAGCAGCAGTTCCTCCACCACAGCGACCTTCACCACCCTGTCGACCATCTCGTCGGCCACCCACTCGCTGACGTCGTCGTATGTGAGCAGCATCAGCTCCAATGTGAGTGCGGGTGCCAATACCTGGGAGTACGGGTTCCTGGACATGGAGTTCGGCCTGGGGTCAGAGTTCACGGAGCTGGTGCCCAGCTGCAAGCTCTCCTCGGACGAGCTCTTCAAGAGCGGCCTCAGCGGGCCGGTGGCCAGTGCGCGGCTCCACCACGAGAACGAGCTGGAGCAGCCCGCCCACATTATGGTCGGGAGTTAGTATCAGTTGTAGACGACGACGTTTGGCGGCGCCCCCACCGCTGCCGGACACAGACAGGTGGTGGGGGAGCGTGCTGGTCATGCTGCCCCCAACCACTCCTCCTGCGCCTGGTCGGGGCGCCACTAGAAATTCCAAGCAGTATTGAAATGTGAAACAGTGGAAGGGATTGTGCGATAAAGAGAGAGAGCGAGAGAGAGAGAATTATGCTCAGGTTGTGAACGTGCATGAATAATACCCCTTATACCCCTCCTCCACCACCCTCAACCCACCCTTCCTTCCACCCTTCCACAAACACACACACAGAGAAGAAGAGCAATGCGTAAAAGAGAAATGTTCGAAAACTAAGCAAAGAAAACGAAACCCCAGACAGATCGAAAAGCAAGCAAAACTATTAGCAAATTTTTGTAAGTGTAAATAAAAAGAAAAAAAAATGTAACTAGATGTAACTAAGAGATCGCGATTATATAGATTATAGGCATATAGATTAGTTGCAATTGTTGTTGCCAGCGAGAGAGAGTTTTTCGATTCCAAGCAAAACCAGAAGAAAAATCACTAGAAAACAAAAACAACAATTTAGTAATTTGGATAAACAAAAACACAACACAAGATCAATTAATGAAACGAAAAAAATATTTTGAGTTTTTCGGCAAACACACAAAACAAAATTGAAAATTGATAGTTGCAAAACAAAACAAAGCCGTTTACTATTATACCTAGGCCATAAGTATTATTATTTATATACAGAAGCAGCGGATACAACAACAAAATACCAGAAAACGAACAACTTAAAACAAAGTTTTATAAAAGAAAAAGAGAAAAGAAAAGAAAAAACAAACAACAAAAAAAACATAAAAAAATGCGAGCAAATATAAAGAATTTGTTTAAAAAAAATTACACAATCTTTTGATATTTATGTCGGGGTGTGGGTGGATTTTTCCAAAATTTTGCAGGATTTCTTTGAATTTTCAAAGCCAAGTGCCACAAACATCATTTAAATTCAAATAAAAGAGAGCGCCCACCCAGTACACTGGGACCGTAGCCGCGGGAGTTTTCTGAACTACTCTGCCCTACCGGTTAAATGTGGAACTATTTCTTAGTTCATTACCCTGCCGCCAGCCTAACTACATATTTAGCTAAGACATAAACCCCGCACTACACCATAGTTCACGTCTCATACGTAAAGATGGCGTTTGAGTGACGTCGAAATCGATAGCAACATTGAATCTAAGAACATGCTGCTGGCAACATCAAACTGTTGCCAAAGTCCTAGCAGCATGCTGCTAAGTTCAGAGTTCCATAAACAGGCGCAGCGGGAATTTCAAATGTGGCGCCACTAAGCCAATCTAATCTTCTTAAGATGTTACAGCACAGTATGACCAGATAAACAGCAAATACCAAACCAGAGCTAGGCCGCATAGAAGAAGAACGTGCGCGCGTCACTGGCCGAGGAACCTGCCGCTGAAACCGCGGCCCTGATCCCAAAAGTGTACGAAATTATGATGTACGCGATAAACTTGCACCCACATGATGAGCCTCTGAAGGACCCAATATATTATATAGCCCGTGTGGTTGCGCTTATGCTTATACTAACCACCCCAAAAACATTTAGCAGTAACGCGTAAAAAACTCAACAAATTGTGTTCAATTTTCGTTTGAACCTTATTATGTAAAGTATCCAATACAAAAGAGTTCTAAAAACTAGCCAATGCTGAACAAAATGTATTGACGAATGGGAAAAAATTATTTGTTTAGGGCTGAGAGGGCTAGCTAGCAAGTAATATTAAACCGAATATCAAAATCGAGGAATATGATTTCTGCACAGAGGCGGAGAACGATTAACCCATTGTCGACCTGTGGATATTTAAATGCACACACGATTACTATAAAACTTCAACATTCTTAACGCAGTGCAGGTGAAACACATCGTGGAAATGGATCCACAAGAAGAATTTACAAACAGAATTATTTCCTCCAATTTAACTCAGGTGTTCACCTGTTTAAATAGAGGGGGGTGTGGTTAGTTTTCCTTGGTATATTTTGGTATATTCCTGAGAGTCAGACGGTATATTTTGTAGATAAATCCGCGGTCACACTGGTCGTGAAGGGAGCGCAACAAGTGCCAAGTGCCCCAAAACCCCCCAACGTTGGCCCCAACGTGTTGACTCTTCGTTTTGCTTTTGTGCCGTGCTGGTCGTGACGCGGCGTTGGCTCCGTGTTTATAAATTTTGCGTCGGCGGTGCGCGGCTTTGTTTATAAAAATTGTGTGTTGTAAACGCCGCGTGTGTGTGTGTGTGCATGTAGAAGGGCGCCCGTTTTTCCTGTGTATTAGTGTTTGATTATTCCGTGCAGCGTGTGAAAAAATTAATGCTGAATTGGATCAAAAATAGCGGAAAAGGTAAAGGCAAGGAGGCGGCAAAAGAGATTGAGTGAGAAGTGGTTCTGCCGCGGTTGCGTCGGCGCAGCAGAGGGCTATTCAAAGGTGTGTGTGTGTGTGTGTGCGAGACTGGTTTTTCGGCTGCTGTTTGTGATAGTGTGTGCTTGTGAAGCAACAATTTAATTATTTTCAAGAGCCGTTCAATTAAAAAAACCAATTGCAAATATGTGTAATTTGCTTTCGATTGCATTTGGTGCGTAATTACATTTTTGAGAATTCACCCAAAAACAAGCACAAACACGCACACACATGAACAGGCGGGAACAGTCTGTAATGGGAGGGGGAATTGCCCAGAGGGGCACGGCACCCTCCAGCGCTAGATGGTGGCGTAATCGTAATCTTTTTGCCCTCCTCTTAATGATTTAATTGAGAGACTGAAATTCAATTTACCGTTTGACTTTTGCCAGACCGTGAGAGCCCCAAAGTGTATTAGAACAAGGTGAGGACTTCCAAGAGAATACTCGCGTTTGCAGACTAAAAGACTCAAATGTAAAGAGTGGGAATACCTTACCTTGAGGGGATCGTGAGAGTAAATCTCTAAGAATTCCTCTCACCTTGTACAACAACACCATGACATATACACACTCTCTCAACCCATCTCTCACACACTCTCTCGCACTGCGTTTCCCATTGTGTACGTGCGTCGCGTGCCGTTTGCTGCATTTTCTTTTGCTTTTGCGCGACGGGAAAACGTTCTACCGTTTGTTTGCTTTTCCAATCATCAGCAAATAGTGCAGTATGACAGCATTAATAAAACCAAAACCAAAAACCAGTTGACCGTGATATAGTCGTACAACAAAAAGCTTGCAAAATATTCAAAATAAAATGTGAATGATTTAATTGTCGAAATATTTTGTGCGGTTGTATCTGTGTGTGTGTTTTTGTGTACCCCTTGCTGCCCCTCTCGCTCTGTTACTCTATCGAGTGTCTGTCGAAGGGCATTTCGTCAATGAATAACGGCAGTTTTATTGTAGCTTGTGGAGCTTAGGAGGTGCGAAAGCGACGCAGAGGAAAGAGCTTAGAGGTGCGAAAACGAAGAAGAGCAAAAGTACATCACCTTTGTGTCAGCAGAAGCCGAAGCAGCGACTGCGACAGCGGAGCCGGCATTGAACAAGCAATAAAACAGAAGAGAGCAAAGCAAGTAAAAGAAAACAACAAAACGCAACACGACGTCAGCAGACCCTTGGTGGAGCCCCACATTCCAGCGGCGGGCATTTTGTGCGTCGGCATTTCATCAGCTGCAGGCGGAGGCCAGGCCGCCGTCAAGTCAGGCTTGGGGTCAGCGTCACCCCAAATTGTTTGCAGTAGCAGAAAAAGCGCAGCATCAGAGTCGTGGGTAAGTCAGCTACTTGTGTATTGGTGTGGGTGTGGGTGTGGGTGTGGGTGTATTGGTGTACATCAAAGTCAATTTTCTGCTGTTACATCTTGTGGGCCGTCTCATTCTCTTACCGGCTATATACGCATTCCATCGAGGAGGACATTATGATTTCATGGAGACGTTTGCAACTCAGGTAGCAGATAGTTCAACGGTTTTTTCGATTAGCAGAAAGAGCCATATCTTCTGTCTATTTCACTTGCTTTAATTACTCTTTTATAGTTTTTTACAGTGATCGGCTGAGGGTAAGGGTATCAAAGTGCCCGTCCAGCATTCGTTTTATTTTTTGTTGTTGCTTGGGTTTTTTGCTTCTCCTTCTTGTTGCTGTTGTTGCCTGTTACGCCCTCCCGCTCTTGGCCAGTCGAAGGGCCATGTGAAAACATTTTTGCGTAGAAATTACATATTGTTTCGTTTTCCCTCTCTTTCTGCCTTACACCTGGGGGTTACTTGTTGTTGTCGTGTGTTTTTATGGGTCGTCGTCATCCATCGTTGTAACCCTGTTCCCCTCCTCTCTGTCGTACCTTAACAGGGCATCGCTTTCTGCTCATCAAAGCACAAAAAAACACATCCAAAGGCGACGGCGGCTCTGCTGTGCTCTGTGCCTCAATTATGTTAATTATGAATTGCTCTGCATTTGTGAGTATATCTGTGTGTGTGTGTGTGTGAGAGAGCAAGTCAAGCGGGTAAGTGGGCTTTTGGGTTGCACAGGTGGAAGTGGCGAATGGTAAGGTAAGGGCAGTGGCACAGGTGGAAGACACAATTGTAACCCAAATTCGAGGGAATCTCCTCCATTGCCAAACAAAATTGATTCATCACCCATGCGGCTGTTGTATGGCTCCTCCCCTGATGATCTTTTAATGGACCATAAACCTCATTAAAGACCCACCGATCCAATGGCAATGAACTTCATTTGTTTGAGAGTTTCCGCTGATACTCGTCGTAGTCGTATCTCTTGCTAATGGGTCTCTCTCTCTCTCTTTCGAGTGGTTTTTTTGGGAATTTCAGCTATTAGTGCCACAAAACAAATGTGTGATTATGAGGGAAATACAGTTGTTGTTGAATGCTAATGATCTTTCGATTTGGAAAGGGGGGAAAAGCGTTATGGAACAAAAATATTATGGAATGTGCATTAATGTAAAATGAAATATAATTAGATTACAGATTTTAGTTTCTTGGAATGGAATAAATTATAGAGAATTGTTTACTCTGATTTTTTACAATTTACAATTTGTGGAGTGTTGTTGCATTTGTTGCATTTCCTTAAGGGCAATCGTCAATCAGCTTCTAGTTTCCTCCATCTACAGCCTCCCGCTTATCACATTCTTTCGGCGCCACATTCCCTGTTGGAGCATACTTTTTCAAATGAAATTTATCGCGGATTCAGCATCAGAGGAGCAACAGCAGAGGGGCAACAACAATAGATCAGGGGAACAGCAGCCAAACAGCAGCCAGCCACTGCTTCAATTTTATCCGTCGCTGGAGAATTTTGTAATTTCCAAATCACAATATTAATGCAGGCCGAGGCCGATGCCAACGGGGGCCCCTGCCCCTTCTCATGCCCCTCTTTCTCCAACAATGGGAAAAATGCGAATAGAGCGTTGTTGCAACAAGAGGGCGGGCGCTGGCAAAGGGGAGCTCCTTTTTTTTTTTGGGAAACCTTTCAACAATGGAAAACTTGCCCAAGCCGTCGTCCACGGAACTGCGTCCAAACTGCCGCAGTTGTTGCTGTTTTCTGCTGCTGCTGCTGCTGTTGGCATCGCCCAAGCCGGAAGATATTTCAGACTAGCTTGCAACCGGGACAGAGAGGAGGGGGTCTGAGTGCTGGGTGCCGCTGCCGCCTGTTCCATGTTTAGACAGAAACAAGTTTTTTGCTTTGGCAATGATGACGCTATGGCTATGGCTATGGCTAGAGCTATGGCCCCTCCTCTGACCAGTCCATCGGCTTTTGTGGCCAACACTGCCGGCAGCTGCTTTTGTTGTTCTTGGCGGGGCCTACACACCAGTACCCACACACCACACTACCCCACTGCCCCGCAGCCAAAAACAAGACCCGGTCTACTCCCGAGCGCATTTACCATTCCCACTCCTCGTAGCGTAATGTGTTGGGCAGTGTAGTGTGTGTGGTGCAGTGTAGTGTGTGGTGCAGCCGCTGTGTAGTTTTGAACTAGTTGCGGCGTATCAAATCAAGCCGAACCATTGTCCAGCTGTCTGACCGACCGTCCCGTGGAGATGGTATCGTGATAAAAAAACGAATCACGAGAAATTTTGGTATTATAAATTGGGAAATTTTACACATTTCCCTTGATGGGATTGGGCATCCATTGCATTATCATTTACTACGAAAAAGTTTGAATGTTATTTTTAAATAAAAAATCATTTATTATCGTATAAGAAATTGAACGGAATACAAAATTTTGTGAGATTTCATTCCCGATTTGGTGGCTCTCATCTCTAGTTACCCCTTTCCACCACTCTGGCTCTGTTCACTCCTACTATTACACCCCTTTTAGCCCCCTCTCTGCCGAGGCCCATTCCCCGTCCACACATCGCACTTTTTGGTAATGTTCACAATTTGGAAATTAACTGGTTTGCTGGTTTCTGCGCTACCCCTCTGGATGCCCCCCTGGAGGGAAGGAGGAGACGTGTCTGGGGCCGCTGTTCGGACCGTTTGTTCGTTTTTCCTAGCCATTTGTATTGTTCGATGGCGGCGTCCAGACGGAGAGACGGCGACGGACAGATAGACAGACGTACGGGACGGGACGGGACGAGACAACTTTATATGTAAAAGGCTGAAATGAGCTTAAAGTTTTCCTTCGGCTTCGGTTTGGTTTTCTCGTTGGTTCTTTTATTTTTTGGCGTCGTGGTTTTTCGACCGTCTGGGATTGCGCCCCCGAAAAAGTTTTCTACACAATAGCCAGAAAATGGGCGGGCGGTTACGCTTAGGAGGAAGAACTGTGGGGAGGGGGCAAAGGGTGTTTCAGTGGATTGTGTGGAAGTCGGCCATTCAGGCGCGACAGGAAGACAGCGCCCGGAAGGAAGTTCATTTTGTGCAACTTAACGCTGCCTCTCCCTCTCTCTCGGAAGAGAGTGTGAGTGGGGGGTGTGCATGTGTCTGGCTAGCTTGTTTTTCCTTCGAAAAATCGGATATGAAACAAAAGCTTTTTCGACTGTTGTAAAAGTAGAATGTACAGGATGTAGAGGATCCCGAAAAGATCAAGATAAATGTTAAATATTGTTTTCTTAAGAGCTTAATGGCGGCAGTGCCTCAACCTTGTGTTCAATTACACCTTGGGCTGGATCAGTGTCTGTCTTCTGCTTCCTCCTAGAGCTTCAGATCGGATCAAATCGATAAGAGAGTAAACCCCAAAAGAGATGGAAGACCTCCGTTTATTAATACACTTTCCTCTGTCTCTCTCTCTCTCTCTCTTTCTGTCTTTCCTCTTCTGCTGCACTTGTGCTCAAAGCAATTTAAAGAATTTCTTATCGGAATTTATGATCCTCCTACACATCACACAGAGGAGGGGGGCGGGCCAGCGAGAGCAGTAGAAAGAGAGCACATAAATCAAACCATAAGCGAACGGCAGTCGTAGTGGAACGTATGCTCAAGTCTGTGTATGTGTCCGACGGTGGAACATATGTGCATGTGTGTGTTTTGTGTGTCGTATGATGGACTGTACACAGGAGAGTGGACCGGGACCAGCAGCAACAGCAAATGCTTCCCTTCCCACTAATCTCCCTCTCTTCCGCTCTTACTCACTCTTTAACTTTTTTCGGTTAATGGTAAAGAGAGGGACGAAGGCAAATTGGACGTCTCCCCCTCCCTCTCTCCTCCTACACACATACTAAATTTTTAATCAAGTTTTACAGCAGCTGTGATTCCACTTTTGGAGAAGCTCACTCCCCCCCCCTCTCTCTCTCTCTCTCTCTGCTCTATCCTGGTTTATCCTTTAGCCCATGTGGCTCCTCTCCCTGATGTTCGTCCTTCCTGGCTGGCAGCGCAAAAAATGCAATCAACGTCAAATGCGCTTCGGAAAACTTTGTGCAAAATAATAGAAAAGCCATTAATTTCACTTCTCGTCGAAGATGCTGCTTCGCAGAGGCAAACAGATGCGAAGGCAAGTGCCTGGGCGTGGCAACGACTCGGACATATGGCGACACAGCGTTGGAGGGGGGACAGAAACGAAAGTAAAGTAATTTTTAATTATGCGCCTAACGGGAGTCAAACTCTGATTGGAATTACACGAAATCCGATTAATCGCTCACTGAATTCGATTTCCATCTCCTTTCTGTGGAGGGAGATGGGGATTTGGAAAACTTTTCCTTTCTTTTCCGCCACGGGGGCAGGGAGGAGGCAGGGAAATGACACAAAGTTCTGGGCTGAAACAATTTTCATTAGCAAAAAACAACAAAGGCAACAAAAGAACCGCTAATTTCACTTACAATTAGCGGTATGCCAACATGTCGCATGCCCCCACGCCGAGAGGAGAGTGCTGCCCCCAGGGAGAGAGCGAGGGATATGGGATAGGGTCCCACCACCACATGCAGCGACACCAAACAAGTTTTCCAACTAAAATGACACAGAAAAAACAAACAAATATTTGCGGAAATTATGCTAGGGACACACTGAAGTGGAAATGCTCTCAAATACGGCATTATTTCTGATGGATATAATGGAAAATCTATGGAAAAAGAGCAGTAATATTTTCAGAATTCCATATAAAAAACTCATGACAAACTCCTCCGCTCAGTGGAGGGATATGAGAAAGTTAGTGGAGCACAGAGTCGAGGAGTGGAGGAGGAGCTAGTGTAGGTCCAACAATTTGTTTAACATTTATGAGTGACAATGGGCGGTGGCTGTGGGGAGGGGCGTAGGGCGTGGGGCTGGGGATCAGTTATGTAAAACAAAGTTTAGCCAACGGTCAGGCGGCGGTAATGCAATAAGAAACTTTTCACAAATTGCC